TTATTTCTTTTCAAGGATATGTCAAATGCCTTCGCTTCCAACGACAGCAGCCTCGCTTTTAGTTCCCATTGCGTGTTTCCGAGCTAGGCGGACAAACATCTAGTCTCGATTGAGGCCGAACCGTTCAAGTGTGTGATCGACGTCATCGTGAAGGTTCCACGTGCAGGTCCCTCCTCAGCGGAGCACGGAGTGATGCATCGACCTTGCTGTTGTTGCCTTTCTCAACAGCGCTTTTCTCATTGCAAACGCCGGTGAGATGCAAAGGGCGTCCTTATGACGTCAAGGTGTTGTCATGTAGCCAGGATGGATCCAATGGGTTTCGTCCTCAAGGATATTATGTCCACCATTTACCCCACGTTGGAGGGGCTGGAAACAGGTGGGCTGTTTGTGTGCTATGCTCTTGTCTTGCTCACCGATATGATATCCTCTATTTTCTGAACGTCAGGGAGGGAATACAGTCGAACCCAACCGTGAACATAAGCACAACTTGGCTTGAAATTCTGCGTACTGACAAATTCGTCATTGCTGTGACTACAACCTCGTTCAATCTCTAACTTCATAATGCCGAAGAGCCAAAGGCAGAACGTCTGTCTTGCTTATCTAAAGCTGGTGATTTAAGACCGGACAAAATGATTCTAGACACTCGCTATTAACGTGCGCACTGGATATCCACCTGTAACAAAATTGGATTTAACGGAAGTAAATATACCCATTTGGCTTTTATCCCCCACCTGTGAAATCCCTCCCTCTCCGTGATCGCACGCCCCATTCCCTCACCGGTGGACCAGGCCTGAGCTGAGCCGGCCTTATGTGCTCATTCTTCTCCAGATTGACCTGACCCCGGCTTCCCTCCCGCCGACCTCCGACAGTTGGCCGCGCCTGACTGGCACGTGGTCGACGCCTTCGCGCCGGAGGACGCAGCCAGCATGCGTCGCCTGACTGCCGCCATGCTGGCGCCTGAGCTGCACGAGCGATTGTGGCGGGTGCCGTTCCGTGCCGACCGCTGGCCCTGCTACCTGGAGCCGGTGCTGGGTCACGTCTGTCACCAGAGAGGGTTCAGCTCAAGACACATCAGCGCTGTCGCTCGGTTGTTCGTCAAGAAGGTGCCAACGTCGGCCGAAGATGTGCCGACCTGCTGGTGCTGGTGCGTGTGCTTTGCTGCCTTGGAAAAGGGAAGGCAGTTCTGGCCGATGGCGCTGTGTTAGCATGGTGACTCTTGGACCTGCTTTAGCTTGGTGCCGAATCAAAAGATGCGCAACTTCAGGCGCAAATACCGCGGGCAACAAAAGGGCTGTTAAATCATTCAAAGACTTTTGTGATCCTCAAAGATATTTACATAGCCTGTGAGGTCATCAGTGGCTTTTCATGTCAACAATTCCTGAGCAAGGTTCCTGCGTAATGTTGGTTGCCACTTGAACGCTTCGAATCGGGCGAGTCTATCCAAAGATAGTCGGTGGAAGGTCTACCCCCAGGAGGTTGCAGTTGACGATATACCCCGGACGGTGTCGAATCGTCATGACTTAATTAGACTAATAGTTTACGTAGAAATCTAGGAAATAGTGGAACGGCACAGAAATTTTGTTGTTACCTTCATCCATGTACACTGCGCTACCCTGCTGACTGGATGTACTAACCCCAGGAACATGTGACGCAGCACAGGCAGGTAGTGCTTTCACTGACTGTGTATGTCCGCCTGACCCTCGTTCACAGCCCGCCGGGCGTCTCTGTGAGGCCTTTGAACAGTATCCACCTGGACACCGTCAAGCGCTTCTGGCCGTACACCGCGGTTACCGCCGATGCCGACGGTGCGATGCGTGACGGCATGACGGCGGGCCTCAGCGTCGGCGTGTTCGTCGCCGCCGACA